AAGTTAACCTTTGATTTCCGATCGAAAACCTAAAGGAAAGTCCAAGGCAAGCTGCGACACACTTAAGGAACGCGGAGCCCCTCCCCAACGAAAAGAGTTCCTTCTTCAGGGCCCCGACTGTAGGGCGGCAGGCCTTCTCCGAAGCCGCCTCTGTTTCCGGAGGAGGCCTGGGGAACGCTTCTCGGGAGGCCGGGGGCCTCCCGAGCCTTCTGAGCGGGCCTGTCCCCTCTGCCTCCCCCCCCCCCGGGCGCGCCGCCAAGAGAAGAGGGCAGGGGCCCACAAACACACAAATAAGTACACACTAACAAAAAGATTCCCCATATTTTCCTGTATGTTCTGGGTTCTTGTCTTCCCCCCCACTTCCCATATTTTCCCATATTTTCCTGGGGATCGACGCTCAATTGTGTCTGTGTGTTTCTTCCCCTCCTGAAAGAGGGCAGGTGCACCAGCGAAAAAAGGGGGCGGCCGCCGAAGCCGCCGCCACCGCGGGCACTGCGGGCGCCGACCGCGTCGCCCGTGCGGAGATCTGCGCAGACGGGCGAGACCACTCCGAGGCAGCTCGGCGCTGGCAGAGCAAAGCGGAGGGCGAGGGTCGGAGGAGTGGGGGCTGGGGAAATGGAGGGGAGGGGAAGGTACGGGAATTTGGGAGACGGTGGTGAGATGGGAAAGGAACTGAAAGGACAGGAATGGGGAGCGGGGCAAAATCTGCAAAATGCACTGAGGAACTCTGGACTTTGCAGCAGCGCTCAGCCTAAACGGTGTGTTCCGCATGCTTGCACTGAGACCGAAGGCACAACGAAGCAACATCCTCCATACTGGCGGAGGAGGGAACACACTGGGACGAGATGGAACGAGATCGAAAAAACAATCAGAACAAGAAGACGAAGTACAACCGCGGCCAACATAATTACCCTGCAGTTGGTCGAACGACACTACAGCTCAAACGAAACGAAACACTTTCCAATACCCCACGGACATGACCCACCCTGGCCGCATCTACTCAATCGGAGAAAAGTCACTCGTATTTCGTCGCATCTGCAATTCGAGTCGGTCTATGATCCTCAAAGCACGGGTCACATTCGCAGACGGTCGCTTTCGCCCGTTCGTTTTCGCCAGCGATCGCTTTCGCAGGCGGTCGCCTTCCTCAGCGGCCGCGTTCGCTGGCAGTCGAATTCGCCGTCATCGCCTTTCCGTTCTCCTCCTCCTCCTCCTCCTCCTCCTCCTCCTCCTCCTCCTCCTCCTCCTCCTCCTCCCAGTCGTCGTCGTCGCCGCCGCCGCCGCCGCCGACCTCGTCGTCGTCGTCGTCCTCGTCGTCGTCGCCGGCGTCGTCCTCGTCGTCCTCGTCGTCGTCGTCGGCGTCGCCGTCCTCGTCGGCGGCGTCGTCGTCCTCGTCCTCGAACCCTCACTGGCGGGCCGGGCGGACGGACCCCAGCGGGCGGGTCGGGCAGGCGGGACGAGAAAGCGGGCGGGCGGGGCCCCGGGCAGAAGAGCGGGCGGGCCTCGACGGGCGGGACTCCACACGCGCGAGCGCGCGAACGGGGCGCGTCGGGGCGCGCGGGCTCCGGCGGGCGCGGCGGGCTCAGGCGGGCTCGGGCGAGCGGGCGGGGCGACTCCCGGTGAGAACAGCTGGGCGAGGGCGACCCGGCGAAGGCGACCGGGCGAAGGCGACCGGGCGAGGCGCGACCGGGCGGAAGAGACCACGGGCGAAAGCGACCGGGCGGAAACGACCTGGCGAGAAGGTCCAGACGAAGTAGCGACCGGGCAGGTAACGCCCGAGCGAAGAAACGGCTGGGCGATCGAGACCGCGGGCGAATACAGCCCGGCGAGTGAGACCGCGAGCGAAGGCGAACTGCCCAGTCCCGCACCATCCCCTGCCAGCCAAATCTTGCACTTCATGGTCAAGTAAAGGCCTCCCAGACGGGGTCTGAGTAGATGGGGTCGGAGGCTTGCGCCGCATCGCCGATGCATAGCCGTGGTTAAAATCGGGATCCACGTCGAGACGCACCGCCGAAGCATCGGCGATTCGGCGACATCATGCGACCCCATCTGCTCGGACCCCATCTGGGAGGCCTAGACCAACGTGGAGCCCTGTCGCCTCCTTGTCCTCCGCTTTTCGTGCTCCGCCTGTGACTGTTGCCGCCGCTGCTTCGCCGCATCCCCACCTCCCAAAGCTTCATGGGAGCAGTGCCCCGACGGAGGAGCCGCGGCAAGCCTTCGAGGTGTCATCGCAGGGGGCTCCGTTGCACCGGTTGTCCGCCAGCATCCAGAAGTCCTCCACGGCCGGGGGGGGGGGTGCGAGGAGGGAGGGGGAGGGGCGGCAACGGCAGGGGGAGCGGGCAGGAGTCCGGGAGGACACGGCGGGTTGGCATCGCGATGGCGTCGGCATTGGTCTCCGGCACCCCGTGGGTCGTTCTTCAAACTCGGGGCGATCACGGTTCTCCGATATCGGCTAGGCGTAAGAGTGACCCTGGGTAAATGTGACCTTTGGTGCGCAGCCAAACCCAAGGGCGCGGGCCGCTTATGTCGCATCGCGCTCGGCGATCGGGTGGAGCCCGATGAGCCCGCACCAAAGGTCACTCCAGCGAAAGGTCACTCTTACGTGTACTCCAGATTTCGTACTAAAGGGAAGGGGGTCTCATTTCGGGGGGTGTCTCTTCCAGGCTATCTTGGAGGGCCTGGGGGGGTCTGGGGACCCACGGGGGAGGTCTGAAATGGCTTGTCTTGGAGGGTCCAGACCCCCTCCCTTTTATTACGAAATCTGGAGTAGTCGACGATAAGGCAGGTCGTTAGCTTTCGGCCGATTCCGGGCCACTGGCGGCGGTCCACCTGGAACGCCCGCACTGGGAGACACCGCCGCGGCGACGCGGCGCGAACCTGCCGTAGCATCAGCATGAGGATGAGCTGCGGTAGGGGGAAACAGTTGCTGAACACTCCACCTCCCCCCAAGCTCAAAGTTGGCGCGCGCGGGGGAGGCTGCGGTCGAGGTGCAACTCAGCAGACCCACCGCCAACTTTGAACACTGGGGGGAGGGAGCGGCGCTGATAGATGAATGCGGCAGTTGTGTTCGCTATTTTTTTCCGAGGCCCGCATCTCCCCAAGAAGAGCACAGCACACTGGCGTTGATGCCGCACTCGCCAGCCGTTCTGCAGCGGCGCGCCTGGAATCACCCGCACGCGAGCGGCGTGCACCTCCCGCACGTGAGCGTTTTCTTCGTCGGCGTTTCGACATTAGGCGGAAAAGGGGGGGGATCAAGGCCCCGTAGACCGGGACACATTAGACCCAGACACCCAACATCCCTCGAAACCAATTTTTCGGACGGCGGCACGCACAAAATACTGTACTGCAGCATTTCCGGAGTAAACCCGGACACAGGCTTTGAAAGCCTGCAAGTCCCCCCCAAACCCGGACACAAACCCGACTCCTCCAGTACAGCAAACAAAAGATGCACGGGTGATGGAAAATGTGACTTTGCAAGAAATGGTGTCGTCTCCTTGGTTTTCCGTGTCCTGGTTTATCTGTGTCCTGGTCTCCGGGGGCCTGAAGGGGGGAGGGGGGGTCTGGCTCCGGACCTTTGCTGAATGCCACTGTCTGCAACAGTGCGTCCTGTGAGACTCCACCTGCTCGAAACAGGCGCCAGAAACAGCCACAAGATCTACAGTAGGGGCTCGACCACAAGAAACCTTCCACAAGAAACCCGACCCTGAGAACCCAGGACGTCCATTGATTTTTGGTGCGAGAATGTCACGCTCCCCACAACAAGACCATCGAAACCCAAGAAACCCAGGGCACCCTGGAGGCAAGCAGGGCGTTTCTTGGCATGGGTCTCCACTGTACTCCATAGGGGGGGGAGCGGAGGGATGCGAGGGCCCGCGCCGATCGGCAAAGCAATGAACAAGAAGACGATCAGCAGCCTGGACGAACCCTGGGCTTGTTCTTGCATGGCTTCCTGGTTACAGCACGCTCGGCGCCCGCAGCACGTGCATCCGTTCTCCGAGAGCTGCTCACTCGTGCGCCCCGAGGGGCACTTTTGGCGCTTGCTTAGGTCGGGCACGTCCTCCTACAGGCGGGTTTGAGAAAAACAAAAACAGCATTTGAAAATTACAGATAATCGATAAATCATAACCCGACTATTTCTTGACTGGTCTTCAACACTCCTCCTGCAAAAGGACATGCCCGACTTGACGCTTGCTGACACAATGTCGCCATCATCACGGCTTGGCCGGGCTCCTGGTCACCGACCGCTGGACTTCTGGACGGGCCACGACGGCCCCTTCACCCCGCAGCGACGGGGACGCCCTGCGCAAGAAAGCGGGTTGGCCACCTGGGCGGCGCGTGTGTACGGAATGGAACTTCTGCTCGGCAGGTCGCGGAGGCGGCCCCGGCGACACGCTGTGCCGCGCAGGCGGACAACACGTCGCTCCGCCCCGCGGGGCGGGAAGGTCGGAACCACTCGGGACGTTGACGCCTAGGCACTTGCAAGTGGATAGCGGCTAGCGTGCCGCGTCGCAGCGCGGTGGGTCAGGACCGGCGGAGCGACACGCTGCCCAGAAGTTACCCACCGCTTACGCACAGCACTGCACACTCCCCTCGGCGCCGCCACCGCCGACGCCAGAGGCGCGGAGCTGGAGAGAGAAGGGGCGGGCGGCCGGCGCTGCAAAGACGCAGCGTGAGCCACACGCGGCACACCGGGGGGGGGCGAAGGATGGAGCATGACACCTCCCTCCTCCTCCTCCTCCTCCTCCTCCTCCTCCTCCTCCTCGTCCTCCTCCTCCTCCTCCTCCTCCTCCTCCTCCTCCTCCTGCTCCTGCTCCTCCTCCTCCTAACCACGACGACGACGATAACCACGTCGACGACGACGACGAGGAGAAGAAGGAGGAGAAGACGACGGACAGACGCACCGGCATCCTCCACGCGCCCGACCCCCAGGTAGTCCATGCAGTGCGACATGAAGAAGTCCTCGCCCCAGCCCTGCCAGTGCATGTCGTTCATGCAGCGGTCCTGCGCGGAAGCGACGGGCAGAAAGGGCACCGGGCCACCGTGCGGCCACGGGGACCGAAGCGCACGCGGCTGCTGGCAAAACGGTTTGGGAAGAGGCAGGAGCAGAAGCAGGATGGGCAAGAGGGGGGAGACGTGGAGAAAAGGAGGAGGAGGAGGAGGAGGAGGATGAAGAGGACCTGGGAACAAAACCAGCATGCGCCAACGATGCTGCAATGCTCCCCCTCCTCCCCCTCCCCTCCTCCTCCTCCCTCCTCCTCCTCCTCTCCTCCTCCTCCTCCTCCTCCTCCTCCTCCTCCCCTCCTCCTCCTCATCCTCATCCTCATCCTCATCTCATCCTCATCCTCATCATCTCCTCCCCCTACTCCTCCTCTCCTCCCTCCCTCCTCCTCTTCCTCCTCCTCCACATCATCATCATCATCCTCATCATCATCCTCCCTCCTCCTCCTCTTCCTCATCCTCCTCCTCCTCCTCCTTTTCCTTCCTCCTTCCCTTTCCCTCTCACTCTTCCTCCTTCCCTCTCCCTCTTCCTCCCCCGTCCTTCCTCCTCCTTCCTGCTCTTTCTCCTCCTCCTTTGCCTACAAAGGTTCCACGCTTCTTCACTGCGGAAAACGCCCAAACCCTTGGAGGGCGAGCGGCCCGTGGGCCTGCCACGTTCGGGCAAGACCCCGCGTTGCGCAAAGGCCCCATGCCCCGCCCGTCCGGAGGCACGACCCTCAGCATCACCAACAGCATCAACATCATCGACAACACCAACACCGTCAACGCCATCAGCGTCATCAACAGCCTCGTCAACAGCATCACCAACATCAGATCAACAACAACAACAACAACAACAACAACAACAACAACAATCACTTTACCCGAACGCTCAGTGTTCTCACCAGTGCCAGGGTTTTCATGCGACGCCAGCCAATACCCCCACTTTGTGGGGGGGCAGTGCAAGCTCTACCAAATATCCACACGACTCTTCGCCACCACCCACACCAGCTTCCCGCCCTATGACGTTCGGACACTTCACTTCGTGGCCTGCGGACGACCGTGGCTACTACACTGGCGTGGAGTACACACCCAAAGAAGTTGTTAAGCCTACGTTCGTACACCCACAGAAGTTGTTAAGCCTTGTTAACCCACAGAAGTTGTTAAGCCTTCCACAGAACATCTGTTGCATATGATGCATATGGTACATGATACACATTGCGCGGTGCTAAAATTCTTAAGAAAACCCAATGGTTTTTGGAGATTTCGGCGTGCGCGCGCGAAGAAAAAACGAATGTGCCCCGCATGGTATTATTTGACAGGGATGATGGCCCTGGCAGGTGCGCAACCGTTGTCGCAGAAGTTCGAAAAAGTTGCTCGCAAAAGCCCGTTTGACAGAAATGTTTAAAAAGTGTTGGGTTTCCTACGAATCCGCAAGAGCGCGCGGGATGAGATTTTGACAATTTTTTGTTGAAAAACCATTGGTTTTTTGATGTTTTTATGTTAAAATCGCTGCGAACACTAAGGTTTTGGAAGGATTTCGTCTTGCGCGCGCGAATGTCCACTTTACCTTATTTTTTGCAAGGGATTCTTGAAATTTGATTATATTAGAACAAGAAATGTCATTTTCTATTGTTTTTTGCAAGGGAAAGCGGATTACAACAAAACAACCGGATCCTGTACACACCCTCTTTTCTGAGGCTTCCTCACGAAAATGATGAAAATGTAGCTGCGGCCTAGGCGGCGCAGGGGGGGCGCGCACCAGGGGGCCCAACAATAATTATTCTTTAGAATAAATAATGTTCAACAATATCATCAACATCAACCACAACATCGTCAACCACCGCATCGTCAACATCAGCATCAACTGTATCAACATCATATACATATGAAGCAAAAAAACGCTGGGGACGAAAAAGAGTGTTGGCCAGCGTGCGTGGACCACAAACAGTGTTTATAGTGACACACGTTGTGAAATCGACGCGGAGCAACCAATGTGGCGCAACCCATGCGGTGCAACACCTGTGCGCAATCGATGGTGCGCAATCTAAATATAGTTGTATATATGTATGTATGTATCTATGGTGTGCCCTGTGTGTGGTGCATGCTATGTGGTGCAATCTATATAGACATATATATATATATATATACATATACATATACATATATATATATATACTAGAAACCACGCGCGCTACGCGCGCGCGTAGGTTCTAGTCATAGCTTCTCCAGGGCTCTCCGCAACCACAGCCAATCTCTACGGCTGCAAGTCCGAAGGGCCCCGGCGCGACTCCTTCTCCGTGCTGCTCTGCGTTCCTTCCCCGAAGGGGATCGCGCTGGAGGTCTTTCGCAGTCGTCGTCGTCGTTGTCGTCGCCGTCGTCGTCGTCGTCGTCGTCGTCGTCGTCGTCGTTGTCGTCGTCGTCGTCGCAGTCGTCGTCGCAGTCGCCGTCGCAGTCTCACTCGTCGTCGTCGTCGTCGCAGTCTGAGTCGTCGTCGTCGTCGTCGCCGCCGTGGTGCGACACCGGCTGGCTCAGGGAGGGCCCGGAGGGCAGGGGCGGGCGCGGGAGCGGGCGCGGGAGCGGGCGCGGGCGCCGCGCGGAACTGGGCCCAGGACCCGGGAGGCGGGGGAAGAGGAGGAAATGGGAGGAGGAGGAGGAGGAATAGGATGAGGAGGAGGAGGAGGAAGGAGGAGCAGGAGGAGGAGGAGCAGGAGGAGGAGGAAGAAGAGGAGGAAATGGGAGAGAGGGGTAGGAGGAGGAGGAGGAGGAGGAGGAGGAGGAGGAGGAGAAGCAGGAGGAGCAGGAGGAGCAGGAGGAGCAGGAGGAGGAACAGGGGGAGGAGGAGGAGGAGGAGGAGGAGGAGGAGGAGAAGGAGGAGGAGGAGGAGGAGGAGGAGGAGGAGGAGGGGGAGGGAGAGGAGGAGGATGGAGGAGAAGGAGGAGGAGGAGGAGGAGGAGGAAGAGGGCACGAAACGCAAGTCTCACGAGAAAGGAAGCCTCTTGGGGCGTGTTGGGAGCCGTTCGGGAGCCTCTCGGGGCCTCTTCTGGAGTTGTTGGGGGCGTCTTGGGGCTTGTTGGGGACCTGCTGGCGGCCTGGGGGGCCGTCTTGGGTCTCCCTTGGGCCGTCTTAGGCGCGTCTTGGGCCGTTATGGTGTCCTCTTGGGCTGTCTTGGCGGCCTCCTGGGGACCTCTCGGGGGCGTCTTGAGGCGTCTGTGGCGGTTTTGGGAGCCTCTTGGGCTGCCGTGCAGCGCGCCCAAGCCGTCTACCAGTGCATTGTATCATTGTAAGTTTTCCATCGGATGTTGGCGATTTTCGCCTTCGGGGGCTCTCTTGGGAAGTCTCTTGGGCATCTCTGGGTGCGCTTTGGGAGCCTCTGAGGCTATCTTTGCGCCATCTTGGGCGTGTTGCAGTCTGAGTGCGGTCTCGGGGCCCTTGTCCCCCAATGCGGTGCGGAGGTCCTTGGGCCCGGCCAGGGAGCCTCGGTCCCCTGGGATATACATATATATATATATATATAATATATATATATATATATATATATACTAGAACCACGCGCGCGCTTCGCGCGCGCTTAGGTTCTAGCTAGGAGGCGAGCTTGAGTCAACGAAAGTCGCAGGGAAGGGGGCAGGGGGAAGAAGGCCAGAGAGCGCTGAAGGATACAAATACTGGAACCCTCTTGTGATTTTGTGGGGGGCCTCGTCCGGCCGCTCGCTGGGAGTTTGACGTAGCTTCTCGGGAGCCTCTGAACCTGTCGGGGGCCTCCTGGAAGCAGGTTCGAAGCATTTTGGGGGCCGATTTGGGGCTTCTCGGGGCCTCCTTTGGGCCTCTTGGGGGTCTCCTGGGGCCTCTTGAGGGGCCTCCTTGGGGCCTCCTGGCGGCCTCTTGGGGCGGAAGGCTCGAGCTTGCGGTTCGTGGTCCCCCTCTGGGCCCCCTCTTGGGCCCGTTTCGGGGCCCTCTTGGGCCATCTTGGGCACCTCTTGGGCCGCTTTGGGGCCCTCTTGGGCTGTCCTGGGGCCCTCTTGGAAGCTTCTTGGGCCGTCTTGGGGCGGTCTTGGGCGCCTCTTGGGCCGTCCTGTAACGTCGGAAAGCCCAAAAGGCGACTTTGTGAAAATGTACGTTTTACGAAGGGAATGGGTCAATTTTTGCGTCTAGGGGCCCTCTTGGGACGCATGTTGGAGGCTTCTTGGGGCGTCTTGGGGGCGTCCTTGGACGTCTGGGGTCTCCTGGGGCCTCTTGAGGGGCCTCCTGGGGGCCTCCTGGCGGCCTCTTGGGGCGGAAGGCTCGAGCTTGCGGTTCGTGGTCCCCCTCTGGGCCCCCTCTTGGGCCCGTCTTGGGGCCCTCTTGGGCCATCTTGGGCGCCTCTTGGGCCGTCTTGGGGCCCTCTTGGGCTGTCCTGGGGCCCTCTTGGAAGCTTCTTGGGCCGTCTTGGGGCGGTCTTGGGCGCCTCTTGGGCCGTCCTGTAACGTCGGAAAGCCCAAAAGGCGACTTTGTGAAAAATGTACGTTTTACGAAGGGAATGGGTCAATTTTTGCGTCTAGGGGCCCTCTTGGGACGCATGTTGGAGGCTTCTTGGGGCGTCTTGGGGGCGTCCTTGGACGTCTGGAGGCCATCTTCAGCATCTCGGAGCCCTCTTGGAGGCCTCTTGGAAGTTTCTTGGGCCGTCTTGGACGTTCCTGGGGCCGTCTTGTCTGACCGGGGAGGCCTCCGGCAAGCCCCGACGAGCCTCCAGAGCCCCCGGTCCCCACATTTGCGGTCGTGGTCCCGGCCCCGGGCCCCCAGACCAGGTGCGCCGTTATATGTATATATGTGTGTGGAGCAACCTATGGTGTGCAATGTATGTGGAGCAATCGATGTGAAACCATATGTGGGGTGCAACCGTTTTGGATATTATTGAATATGGTCTGGGCCTTATTTTACCATGGTTAACTCGGCGTGTTGGAAATCATGCCTTAAGCGGTTTGTCATGTCACAGTCCAAAAAGTAGCCTGTCGAAGGATACAACCATATGCAGTTGTGAGTGCCGTCG